TTTCAGAAGTCCAATATTTAGTACAAAAACCTTTTCCCCGTGGAGTGTATGGAAATTAAAGGGATCTGAAACATTAAATGATGCCATTAGTGTTGTGGCGATGCATTACACTGCATTGCACAATAGAAAAGGCTTAGTCATGGGTAGTTTCCAGTAACAGCTCAAGAGCTAAAGGCTGTCTGTTGTGTTAGCAGGTCAGCCATGAGCCATGTGAGGTCGGCACTCGAGATGTCTTGTTGTTCATTATTACTATTCACTCAGCATCGCCTAATTAACAGATACCAAATGATAACACTGTGATGTGTCTGATACTCGCTGTCCAACAGCAGATTTTTGTCACCGCAGACATTTTGACCTGTCACTGGTGGGAAAACAAAGGAAAAACACTTTCTTAACAAATGTTCACTAAACAATCCTGCACTTTATTTATTTATAATCATTTGTTGTAGAGTCAATGCTCACCTGTCACCCTACAACATACCTGCTGTGCAGCACTGATGCAGGGTGCGGTTAGAGGTTACACAGGTTTAAAACTTTTAACCAGAGGGTGCAAAAAAATCACTGGCACTTTGCACATGCTTTTTCCATCATTTTACTAAAGCTATATCATTATTCACGAGGGGTCGCTACAGCACACAGCTCTATTTATTTGATTTGGTAGTTTTCAGTTCTTTTAAAAAACCAGATGCCTGATGCAACTCCAAAGGGATTTGTGTCTGCTTTCAGAAACAGGCGCAAATGTGTAAACCACTTAGGTTTTTAAAGACATTACTGTTCAGCAGTGTACAAGTAAGGACAGGTCAAATAGCAAACATGAGATTAAGCTCATGGGATACCATTGTAATCATGAAGGACAACTATAATTTAAAAAAAAATCTAACTTGTCATTTGTTAACAGCAAGTTGCTAAAGGGGTTGTGAGATTGTTCATAAGTCCCCACAGATGATCCTGTGCATTCAAACCGGAGTTTAAGTCAAGTTTAATACAGATTCAAATTCAGCTTTTGTGTTAATTAGTAGGAGATGTTGATTACCTCCAAAGAGAATGTTCATCATCTCATATGAGCTCAGTAGTTTTTGTTCACATGTGTGGGGAAATAAGTTTTGACTTCTTTAATTGCGAGTCACAGCCTGTGTAAATATTCCTCCTCAGACTGCCTCGGCTCTACTATCTTTGCACCGATCAAGGCTGACATATCGGGTAACATCACAGTAAGTACGGCCCTTGACTTCTACATTGCTAATGGATGATACAATGATGCAATAACTGTTTTATTTAACAGAAAATCAA